GATCTTACACCGAGGATACTCACATTTGTGAAGACGTCAGTCTTTGAGGCATTTTCTCACTTGTGTGCATTTTTATTTTGAGATCTCGTACAATCACTATGTTTAACTGAATCTATACAAAAGGAGACCTCTTAGATTTTATGCATTATCTGAGAAAGATAAAGAGGTGCTGTAATATGACCCAAGAAGGATGTAGTTCAACTCTGTCACCAAGGAAAAGCTGGAAGATTTTATTTATCTTAATTCGCTTCCTCTCTTGGAAATGCTTTGTACTTACTTTGTAAAATACTTCATTTTTTGGAATAATTCCTTTGAAAAAAAGTAAAAGCACATAATTTGCAAGAAAACGATGTAAAACAGTTTCGCACTTCGTTAAGAAAAGATGAAATCGTATGTGGTTTATAAAGCGAAAGGTTCTAGTCTATATATATATACAAACGGTCATTTTTTCTTTTTTTAAAAACATTGTTATATAGGATACACGTGTATATATACACACATCTACTCAGCTGTTTCTATACAGCACGTTCGGAAAAGAGAATGCGGATGGAAACACAAAGAATACAATACGATATACTAATATTATCACATATTATGTGATAATTACGGTAACCGTTTAAGGGCCGTTAATCATCTAACTAAGTCGTTCTAACACTTAAAAAACATTCTAGCAGTAATGACAAACAATTTTACTAACATATCAGTGCACGAAAACAGGCTTGGAAGGAGCGGAGCGCAAACTGGTAGTAAAACGGCATGAAAAAATGAAAATCTATCAGCAAAATATCAGCCAAAAGGCTTTTAACCAGTTGGACTACATTCCTCATTAGTTCAAATCCCTTTGAAGTTACTACAGTCGTATACGGTCATTTGTGAAAAGTCAAATTTTTAGAAAAAAGAAAAAGAGCGAGACAACGTATACGTCTGTATACGACTATCGTAACTTGATCGTTTACATCGTATCGTATCCATATACGTATACAACCGTCGTAAACTGACGTAAGTGGTCGTATTTTCTTTGCTGAACAGAAAATCGCGCTTATCTCAGGTGGGAAGCATTTTTCTTAATTCTTGTATAAGATCTTCCATGAAAGTGACAGAAATTCTGCTGAATCTTATAAGAATTTCACAAAATTCATAAGAAATTGGTAGGAATCAGCAAAACTCGAACGTTATTCTTATCAGATTCTTATGAAAAACGTGATCGACTCACCTTCAAAAAAGAACCCAGTACAGTACTGAAAAAAAGGCCGGCACTACCAGTGCGCACGGCATGCTATGTTGCACCAGTACGCACTAGTTCCACATTTCTCCAGTCACCGTTCTGTTATCTACGATTTTTTATCTACGATTGATTCCGCTATGTTTTACTCGAACTTTTCTTCTAGAACGTGCAATCAAATTTTAATGCGTTCGTCGCACAGACAATGTTTTTGTCATGTTATAATCTCTATCTGGAAAGAAAAAATCAGTATGAATAGAGAGTCAGGTAGTAAATTCAGAGGATGTGCACAGCAAATTTAGTTCTCTGTTCCCTTATCTAAACGGGTTTCATTTTTGCTAGTTTAATAAAGTGTCTTATATAACAGACACTGTTTTTCGTCTCGTTTAAAATGAGAAAAAACTTTGGTATCGCCAATCAAAAACGTGGCGAGAGTGTATACATATATGAGTGAATCGTATCTTTTTTGTACAATTGGCATAAAAAATTCAAAGTAAGAATAAAACAGTTCTGAGTCGCATTTTTGTTGTACTCCCTTTCTAGTTTATGAGACAAAAGTTTCCCCAGCACTTGATTGAATAATAGGCGAGATACAGGGCATTCAAGTGTACATGTAGCGTTCAGAAGGTTATTTAAGAAAAAAGCCAGTGAAAGCGAACTGAAAACCTATGTATCATATTCCATTCGATAGATCTCAACGAGAGGAATAGAGTGGCGCATGAATGAGACCACATGAATCTATGTAACGTTGGAAAGGCGGAAGGTAGAAAAAAACAGATTATATTGATAAGTAAAAATTGAGTATAAAACTGCTACAAAATACATTTTGAATTCAAACTAAATTCACTTGTTATTTCGTTTATTTTTGAGCTTTCGGTATGTACTCATACCATCATCAGGAATCAATTTTTACTTATTTATTCTCTACTGTTATCCCAAGAAGATTATATTGATTTTGTGGTTCAAGAGCAGTCATAAAAGGAACTTTTAAGCTTCATGGCGCTCTATAGCGTATTCTGTTGCTTCATCGCTTCCACTCTACCATTAGCTCTAATTGCTATGAGATTTTCCTCATTATATCAGCCCACAAATACTATTTTTCCATTGTATTTCATGTATCTTTTCAGACATGGACTAATGAGAAGTATTTTCACAAACAAACAACACAAAAACAAGGATGTTTATTGAATTATTTAGTTTTAACTCACTAAGTGCATCGGTTTTGAATTACACGTCCAAAAAGTCGTAGACAAAGAGTTGATGCCGATCAAATTGTGGAAAGATCTGTACCACGAATTTTAGACAGTAATGAGAGCAATAAAGAAATACGAATTACATTTTCTTTTTCAACCGCTTGATCAAAAACGACTCAAGTTACAAATAATTTTCTTTCTGCTATATAACTGAAGTTCTAAATTTCCATTACCTCAATATTTTTTCAGTGGTTTATATGCATCTTAGATACGAATGTAAGTAACAACATAAAGCCGTTTTTTCTCAAAACAATACCAAAAACTGTTGTCAGGTGGGCATGCATTAGATACAAACTGGTGTTGTGGCTTCCACAAAAGTTGTTTATAAATCGCCTATAAAGAATTACTCAGGGTCGCGGAACATCTCATCTTGCAGAGAAATGTTTGAACTACAATCCTATATAAGTACAAAAATTTCGAAGTTATCTGTGATATAAATCTGAGCATTGTAAAATGCACTAAATTTAGAAAAAAAACCTGTTGCTTTTTTTCTAACTTAGAAATAACTTCAAATCTTTTTCACAGCTGAGTTTTCTACAGAAAACATTTCTTTACAAAATGAGATGTTCCGCGACTCTGAGTAATTCTTTATAGGCCATTTATAACAATTTTCGCTGAAGCCTTAACACCAGTTTTTAACTGGTGCATGTCTATTGTCAGGGTGTTACTCATTGTTTTTAAAGAAGACGAAACACGTTTTTATTTTTTTTTCAACGTTGATAACCTACTCTTGTTGACTTATATGCTCTTGTCATTAGTAATATTTAGAACTATTTAAGAAAAAAAATTAAGAAAAAACTGTCTTTTTATACTTTCGTTCTTTCTGTTCTTTGAATACTATAGGCATAAACATTGTTCTGTGTATCTTTTGTTGTACAGTTTAATTCAAATATGTACGGTTTTCCTCCAAGTTTTAATCCAGGATCACAAGTTAGTTTTGTTATGTTTTCTTTTCATTTTTATACATAACCATAAGTACTACTTCACTTTTGACGTTCATTCAAAAACACCGATTACAATTAATTATATGAGACACTCCTTTGATTCTGAGCAGTTCATTGTCGAAAGCCGATAATACAAACTCAAACAACATATTTTTAATAGATTTCTTCTCAACAACGAATATATCCACAGATTAGTAATGGAACACAAATTCATCTTAGTGGAACACCGACTTCTAATTCACAACGGTAAAATGTAGTTTGTACTTCTATACTTATCTATGAAATTTTAAAATTATTTTTCTCTCATCAGTTTTGAAATTAATTTGAAAACCGGTTATGGCGATATTACTTTACATGTTAATGTACGTTTTGATCAAAACACAATAATTTTAAATAGTTGTCACGGTAAACTATACATATTCGTTATCTTCAAACAACCATAGCTCCTTCATTTCTAATAGAAAGTTCGTGGGCGAATGAAGAACAAAGAGCATTAGTTATATCTTCTAATATGCCGTTTCAAATGGTTATTATGTGTACACAAGATTGTTTCAAAGTGAGCATTTAATTGATTGTGCATAACAAAAGTGACAAATTAAATAATGTTATTTTACTCTATTTTATCTAGGTTGCATTGAATAACCAACATTTTACTGACTTTCGTCATCGTATACCATTCTCATCGATTGATTCGATCGAAGTTAAAGGCGATGTGACACTGAATTCATTACAAATTTATCCTAGTTCTGTAAGTCGATTATCATTGATATGATATAAACTATCACCTCAAATTTCATTTAGACTCCACAGTATCATCCATCATCATATGAAATGGGAATGTTATCCGGATATCTTGTAAGTATTGTTTGTTATTCTTCTAGTATATCTTTATACTACTTTTCACTTCTCTGAACAGAGCGTTCCACTTCTTCAACAAGTAACATGTTTTCCTGGTTCAAGAATTTTTATTCAAGGACAAATTAATCCAAATCCTCAACGATTTGAAATTAATTTGTTGAATGGTCTGTACGATGGTGCAGATTGTGCGTTTCACTTTAATCCCAGGTATTTGTCTTCACCATCTTCCATAAATAAAAATATAGAACGTTTTTTCTTTTACAGATTTAATACACTACAGATTGTGAGAAATTATCGACAATGTGGATATTGGAGCAATGAAGAGAACTACGTATCTTGTTTTCCATTTTTTCCTGGGCATCCATTTAATATTCAGATTGTATGCCTTCACGATAAATTTCAGGTGGATTAGAGAGGATTTTTGCGCATTTTATTATTGAATAAATGAGTGATCGTTGATGTTTATTATAGGTATTATCAAATTGTCAATCAATTACAGAATTTTATTACAAAATGTTGCTGAATTCTATCTGTGCTATTCAGATTAAAGGCGATGTTATCTTGAATAGTGTTCACACAATGTAATGACCAATAACGACGCAAAAAATCACACAATGTATTATCAAGTTAAGCATGATGCAATGGTGAGATTCCTTTTCACTGCATTCTATAATTATATTATTTTTTTATTTTATGTTATACTTTTTGTCGTATCTATGTTATTAAGATGCTATTTTTGTACCATTCGCACGTTTTTACTGAATACAAATAAATTCGTGGAAACATGATTGACAATAACGTCTTAAACTACCCTCATTAAGACTGTTAGTAGAAAAAAGGTGTGAAGCCATGTTGTAAACAAAGAGCACTTTCGTTTGTTGAGGAGAAAACTATAACACATTTGTAACGTTGAAAACCGTATGGTTGAAATATGCTGTCTGCTTTAGCAAATAGAGATGTTCAAGAGGAAAAATAGAGGATGTTCAGCGGATACTCCACCAATTAATTTTGTTCTTTTAGCATGGATGAAATTTGAATTGACAATAATATAGAGTAATAGCAGCTAATTTAATAATTCATTTATATGTTGGCCGACGTTCTGATGTTTCTAACAACATTTACGAGACTAATGTTAAAATTATACAAATAAAAATGTTATACTTGAAGATTTGGTGAATACGGAAAAAAAATTAAAATTAAGACAACAAGGCATGAATGTTGACAGAGTGGCCAACTATTATCCAAGGAGAAGAGACTCAGTGGAAACGAGAGCAAGTCAATTGCTACTAAATCTGCACTGCACAAACACGAAGTCGAAACCATTCACTAAACTTTCATCGAAAATACTTTTTAGTCCTTGGTTCATAGTTATCCTGCTGAAAGAGCTCTCACGACTCTGCTATCTACTAAATCTTATCCGTGCTTAAACTTCTTAACCATACCCTACAGTAAAAAAATTTCGATAAAGTATTTTTCGATGAAATAGTTTTCGATGAAAGTTTCCAGAGCCAGTCGAAACGGATTGACTGTGATGGATGGCGTATTCTTATGAATGATCCGAGACCATACAGATTTTTGGTAGGTGAATCAAGAAAATTTTGAGTGAAAAACCCGATTTAAACAAAACTATATACTCAGTCCCATTGATCATTTATCCCGAAGCAACGTTTCAATTAAAAGCAGTCTAGTAGATCTCATATTGGAAGTTTTACAGTACAATAAGATTTTGTTCATTTCTTGATCCAGAAATCAAGTATATCATTTTTATTTGTATACTTTAACATCTGTCTCTGGAGAGTCGTTAGAAACAACGAAACGAGGCCAGACGTGTAAATAAAGTGTATCATTATATTAGCTGCTCTAAATTACTGCTTGTTCTATCAGTTTATACAAGTGCATCATCAGCCAAAGTGGAAACTTTAGCACAGATCACAGTGGACAACCACGTGGACATTAGGTAGAGAAATGAAAGCGAGCTTTTTGAGTTTTGAGTAGTGTCATATATACTTTGACTCATGGCCTATTTAACGGTGTAACAATTTTTGTTCCGGCTTTTGTATGAAAGTGGAAAATGGTAGCACGAAAACGAGAACGAAAAACGTAGGATGTACCGAAGAAGAATATTTTTTATGAATTGTGCAAAGTGTTTATGAATAAATCATACATATTCTGAAACTTGATCTTCTGGTCTATCGATTCGTAAAAGAAATTTTTGTTTTTACACTTTCGAGTCGGAAAAAATAGTTGTTCTTTCTACGCTGAAGGTTTTTCCAAAAGCCGAGTTTTCATATTTTTCCACAACTCTAAATCTGATAAAACCTTCACAGAATATCCTTCTACTTGTGATACATTTTTACAGGTAGCACAAAGGCGCATAAACGGTCCTAGTCGGAGTTACAGTTTTTCCAAAAACCTTGGTCTTTCAGATATTTGTCAGTTTTTTCAGTGTAGAAAGGTTTTTAATCAATAAAAATACCATATTCGAAATCAGCGCAAAAGAAACTGAGTTGAATGATGTACATATTAAGGATTTCTGAACAAAAAATGTTTTGATCCAATGTAATACGACGGTTTTAACGTATGGACACAAAAATTTTGACTTGACACGTGAACATGAGCTAGAAACGTGGTATCGAAGTCTCTAAACATCCTTTTTATAGATTTCGTATACGCTGTTTCTAGAGAGATGATTTTCAAACTTTCAACGTATGTTCGTACTAGTTTTACAGAAATCGGATCTCTGCAAGACCTGTATCAACGTACTTTGAAAGTTTGAAAACCACGCCATTGAAACGAGCACCTACGAAAATCTATAAAAAGAGGGTTTAGAGACTTTGGTACCACGTTTGTAGCACATGTCCACGTGCGTAGCCAAATTTGCCCACGATGCAGATAATCACAAGTTTAATCTGTGTTACGCTTTGAAGTAGAGGTCTTCTTTTGTTCACCATAGAATGCGAATAAAACTTAAATACACATTCGAGCTCCTTGGGATGTGTAACATCGATAAGTATATTTTAAAACATTTTAAAACTATAGGAAGAATTGTGCGATCATACAATATGAAGTTTCATGCCGATTAAGGCATAGGTCTGGTTGTTTATTTTATCTGCTCAACTTATAATTATAAATGTATGCTTATTTCTTTTTTTAATATTAAGATATGTTTCAGTTGTTTCTCTTATTTCATATAAAATAAGCATAAAAAGAAAAAATATTCCAATAATAAGATTTTTTAAAATTCTCGTTTTCCGTAGAATATTGTTATCAACTAAAGTCCTTGTTCGTTAATCATAGGGTGTGGGGCATGTTTTTTTTTGTTACGTTCTGTTTGTGGATCTCCTTTGTTCTACACTTTTCTCTTCATAAAGGCACACGTTTTATATTTTAATAAGTTAAAATAAATAGCATCCAGTGCACGCTTTTCATTCTGTTGATACATGATATATAGATAACCGAATGAATAATAACCTTATCTCTCTTTTTTTCTCTGATCTAAATATAAAATAACAGGTTTTCTTCAAAATATTTCACCAGTTTAATTTTTTTGGTGTAGTTAAGCAAATTAACTGTAGTAACAACAATAATTACAATGGGAAATGTAAGTGGAATGCATGAGTTTTCTTGCAAGTACGGCCCCGTATTTATCCTAATTGTTTTCAGAGGAACTCATCTGTTGTTGTTTCTTCAGGAGAATTTTATACTAATTCTGTTTGAATTTTAGCAACATGGTCATCATCATCATCAACGATTGGTAAGATGTGACACTCTTATTATTTATTATTAATTAGTTGCTGTGTGACAGTAATTTTTACTTCTGCAATTTGCTTTACTTATACAGAATGTGCCATACGAAACACCAATCAATCCACCGATTAGTTACGGTACTCAAATCCATATTTCTGGTACACCAGCACACGGTGCCAATAGATTTGAAGTGAATCTAGCAAATCATCGAGGTGATATTGTTTTACATATTAATCCGCGCTTCGATCAAAACACAGTCGTTCTCACTAGTGGTAAGAAAATAGCAAAAAGTTTTGTGTATGTAATCTTTAAAAGATGATAGTCTTTTCTCTCAGCGCCCGGTGGAAATTGGGGTGCAGAGGAGCGACAATCATTGACATTACATCGTGGTCAGCCATTCTCACTAATTATTATGGTCACTGCTGAAGGATTTAAAGTGAGTCATGCAACCAACTCGTGTCTGCAGTTCGATTAATATCATTTCAATTTAGATCGCACTCAATAATCAACACTATGCTGACTTTCGTCATCGTATACCATTCAATGCAGCAGAATTAGTTCAAGTTAAAGGTGATGTTCAATTGAATTCAGTTCAAATTTATCCGGGATATGTAAGTGTAACAATTGAGATTAAATACTATTTACTGATATTTTCTTTGTGTTCATAAGGGAGGAGGTCATGGTAGTCAAGCCTTTTCAATGGTAAGTATTTTAACCCATAATCACAACCTGCAATAATAATAGTTTAAACACATAATGTTTAGCACGTTCCATTTATGCAACATATCAATATGTTTCCAGGTAAGTTAACTATTTTTACATTCGGTAATTGATCCTAAATGAGAAATTGTCTTTTCTAGGACGTACAATTCAAATTGAAGGTCAACCAACAGGTCAAAGGTTAGCGGTTTACAAACTAGAAATAAACGGAATTAATTTGATTTAAATTACTTTTAGAATGGAAATTAACTTATTAGGTGGTTCGTATGATGGTGCTGATGTTGCATTACACTTTAATCCAAGGTAAAACAGATATCCTAAAAAGCAAATTATAGTGTTCTACGTTTGTATTTTCTTTTAGATTTGATCAACGCGAAATTGTCCGAAATTCATGCCAAAATGGTGGATGGGGAGCGGAGGAAAAACACGGTCACTTTCCTTTACAATCTGGAGTACCATTTCACGCCCAAATTGTTTGTTACCCACAGTATTATCAAGTATGCAAACTCAATTAATTCAGTTTTAGCCTAATTTAATCTTTTCATTTTGTTATTCTACTCCTTTCAGATACTAATCAATGGCCAACCATTTACTGAGTTTCAACATCGTGTACCATTTCAAAATGTGCAAGCACTTCAAATCAAAGGAGACGTTCGATTAACGAACGTTAGAGTGATGTGAAAAATATTATGATAAACTGCTATTTATATTAGTTTTTGATTAAAAAATTTTATTTTTCTGTTGTAATATTATAGATAAATATTTCAAATAAAATTTGTCTTTTGACATCGCAATATTAGAGTATAAATTCAATAGATTGACTGCTCGAGAACAGTTATGAGTTTAGGTCCACAAGTGATAGACATAGAGACATATATAATCAATGATGCTGATTTCAGAGTATAAAACCTATGAAGATCAATTTCTGATAAACTATGTCTTCAAAATCAAAAGTTTTACCCAAATCATTACTAAATTAGCTATTTTGTACAGCACATTAAGTTCCTTATGCTTGTGAGTTTTTTTGGTTATCGAACATTCTCTGACGGTTGCTGTAAACAAGTTGTTGTAAATATTCGTTAGTCAAAAAACCTCGACTGAGGCTTTTTTATACTTTAAGGATAAATAATCAACTTTTGAATAATTATTTGGATGAAATCAGTGTGTATCACTTCGTGTTATTTCAATAAAGTTAATAAACCATGATTTATATGCTGTCATGAATATGGTGTATGTATAACACGAATTTCTTTTGTTTTTTCATTGATTATTGTGATTGGCTTGAATTCAATTTTTAATTTTCAGTGATAATCCTTTTCCTCACTTATAAACATGCTTTTCCTAATAAATTTAACAATAATTCAATTTCTAGCATGTAGTTCTTCGTCGATCGGATTCTTATTATCTATTATAAGAGGAAAATGACATAATTGATTGTTTTACTATTTTTTCACATAAGATTCGAAATTAACAGTATACTTACGGGTGGCCCAGATTAAATGAAAAAGATTGAAAAGTCGGTTGAGATCTAATTATGAGTCCAGCTGGCGTAGCGGAAACATTGTATGAAGTTGATGATGAGTGAGATCGATAGAACACAAAAATTCTCTGTCTTTCTGTGTGGAATAATTAACTATTGAACCACAGACAAAGGGCTAAAAATCAAAAAAAAAGCGACGATAAAAGCATGTCGCAGTTGGACAACTCACGAGGAAAGGACACCAAGTGGCAAATCGCTTTTCAGCCATGAGCAAGTGGGCAATAGGTAATCAAATATGCTGAATTCGAATATGGCATCCGTTTGGGCTGATGGGCCTCGTGAGACCGAGTCTCTGGAAAACCAGTTTCCCAGAAATCCCCTAAAATCATACTAATGTTTTTTAACATGTTGGAATTTTAGCCCGTACGTTTTGCATCAAAATGAGACATCTCCCAGCTTTACACGATATTTCTTTGCAAAGTTACAGAATTTACAAGAAAAGCCCTAAATCAATTTTTCCTTGTTATTTCTGTAGCTTT